GGCGCAGTTCTGGTCACCACACTATAGGAAGGATATGATTGTACTGAATGGGTGCATAGGAGATTCACAAAAATATTACCTGGGATGGGTTATGGTTAGGCTTTCAGCTAAGAAGAGAATCTGGATAAGATTGGGTTGCTTTCTTTGCAGCAGAGAAAGTTGGGGGAGGTGTGTTCCTGATTGAGGTGCACAAAATTTTGAGGGGAATGTACAGGGTGAATAGAAAGCAGTTGTTCCTCTTAATTGAAGGGTGGAAAAACAAGGCAGAGGCATATTTTTAAAGTGACAGACAGTAGATTTGGAGGGGATTTGAGAAAAGGTTTTTTCACCCAGAGGATGGTGGAGGTCTGCAGTGCACTGTTGAGGCGAGTAATCTCATAAGCTTTAAAAAGTACTTTGATAAATACTTTAAGTGTCATAATATTCAAGGCTATAACTTAGTGTGGCAAAGTGGGACTAGCATAGGCAGCAGTATGTTTTTGGCAATACAGACTCAATGGGCTACAGAGCCTCTTCTGTATTGTATGCCTCTATGACTCTATGATAAGGACTGGATGAGATACATCCTAAGGAAGTGGGAGTGGAAACTGCCTAGGCATGGGTAATAATTTTTCAATCTTCCTGGATTTGCGGCAGTGCCGGAGGACTGCAGAACTGTAAACATTATACCAGCAATTACAGACCAGTCAGTTTCACTAGTGTGGGGAAACTTCGAGAAAAAAATTATGCAGGACAGAATTAATTGTCACATGGAAAAAATGTGGATCAATTCAGACCAGTCAGTGTGGATTTGTTAAAAGAAAATCATACTAAAGCAACTTGCTAGAATTTCTTGTGAAAGGCCTGAAGGCAAGGTCATTGATGTCGTGTATATGGACTTCCAAAAGACGTTCAATAAAATGTTTGCAAGCAACAATGTAGAAAAATAATGGGAAAAATTTAAAATGGTGTAGAATAATGTGCTGGAAAGGAAAGAACAAATGGAGCATGTGAAACTTTGTGGATTAATACACAAAAGAACAATTGAGGGTTAAGAAAGCAGCACACATTAAGTGCACAGAAAGCAGAAGAGTTACAAATGGTCAACTTTATAAGCTGGGCAGGCTTTAAAATTTCACCTTAAAATTAAGGTAAAACAAAACGCTTTGGAAAGATGGAGACCATTCTAAACACCATCACTTGGAAAGCTGTCCACGTAAACCGTTTGCCACGGTGATAAGAAAGTCAAACAGAAATCTACCAGAATATCAAGTGATAATTTCCACACCTTTCCTCAGCAATTCACAGTAAAGGACAGCTACTTTGAAGGACACAGCGAGAAAAAACAACTATTTTGTAGAGCAAGAATGCCACTACTGCAATGGAGGATGACAATAGTTTTGAGTATTGGTCTTTTCTTCAAAAGCAAGGGGACAGAATTGGGACTTCTGAAGAGTTAAGACCAAGGAGTCATCAAGGTGGGTAGTGCAAGTCAGATCAAGAAGACTCCAGATGAGTTAAACAACTTTTAAAAATATCAAATGTTTTAACCAATTGCAGCAGGGAGAAGAGTGCCAGCTGGAGAGCTGAGTTATAGTATTGGGCTTGTTCATATAATGTTATACATCTTTTCCTATATTTGTGGGACACAGGCGTCACTGGCTGGCCAGTATTTATTGCCCATCCTTAGTGCCCTTGACAAGGTGGTGGTAGGCTGCCTTCTTGAATCACTGCAATCCAAGTGTAGTGCTCAGCGAAAGATAATGTAAGACATATCTTGATTTTGTTAGCTAATTAATGGGAAAAGTCTTTCCTTTAATTTGATGTACTAATTGCCTGTAAATAGTATTTAATCTATCCTGTTTTAGTTTGCTTGTTACAGTAAGAAGTCTTAAAACACTAAACCTTGTCCTTCAGCTATTTCTGTAGGTTGTTTGGTTTTTTTTGGTAGATAGTTGTCTCCATATGGGTCATAACCATGATAAAACAGAATATGAAGAGATTAGGAGAGATGTTTCAGAGGAAATTGGAAAGTAAAAACTATGAAATTAAAAAAAAAATCAAGAAACATAAAACAAGATATATAAACTGCATCAATGGTTAGTTAAGTCACTGCTTGAGTACTGTGTATAGTTCTGGTCACTTTATTGCAGAAAGAATGTAATTGCACTAGACAGCATACAAAGGACATTTTCAAGGATGCTGCCGGGACTGAAAAAATGTGGTTCTAAGGATTGTTTTGTATAGTTCTCCTTAGAACTAAGGAGGCTAGGGGTAATTTTAGTGGTTTGCATAAAATTGTGAGGGCAGAAAAACAATAATAATTTCAGGAAGTTCAGGATTTAAAAATAAAGAGCTGGGCTCAGGTCTTATTAGAGATTGCACATATATCGATTAATGGGAAATATGGGTGACTCATGGCAGTGAAAATAGATGAAAATTAGCATCGGTGGGGTGGTTGAGGAGTGCACCTGGTAAACAGTGCCATACAATTGTAAACTGGTCGCACGTCTGAAAATGTTACTAGAAACCAATGGAATTGTGAACTCTATACATACCTGCCTTTATCACATATTACTTAGCATGTAGGTGATAAAATGGAGAATACGATTAAATCTATTTGGAACATCACAAGTGATGCAACCACAAGTGATACTATGATGATGAGAAATAAAGTAATTACTCAAGATCTTCTGGCTGCATTTAGAGGTGGAACAGAACAGAGTTGAGGAAAGCACCATAAAGGTGGGCAATATGGAGAACTGTAGAAAGGGGATGGTGCGGTTAACATATCAAGGACTATAGCTAGGTCAAGAAGGATGAAGAGTGAGAGTGCACCATGGTCACAGTCATTGAAAAATTCCTTCAGGTGATTTCAGTGCTGCAATTGGAGCAGAAACTTGATTATTGAGGTTGATACATGAAGTTTTGGATAAGATATGTATGGATTTGAAAACACATTCAAGACCTTAGGAGAGGAAAAGGAGGTTGGAAATGGAGGGATAGTTTAAAAGGACGGATAAGTTAAGGGCAGTTTTTGAAATATTATCAACCTGAAATACTAATTCTGTTTCACACTCCACAGATCCACCAGATCTGCAGAATAATTCCAGCATTTTCTGTTCTTCATATAAGCTCTACAGTGCAGAAGCAGGCCATTCAGCCCTTCTAGTCTGCACTGGCCCTCTGAAGAACATCCCAACCAGACCCAATCCCCTATCCCCAAAAACCCTGCACTTACCATCTCTAACCCACCTAAACCACACATCCCTGGACAATAAGGGGAAATTTTGCATCACCAATCCACCAAACTCACACATCTTTGGACTGTGGGAGGAAACCAGTGTACCCAAAAGAAACTCACTCAGGGAGAACAGGCAAAGTCCACACAGAAGGACATCTGAGGGTGGAATCAACCTGGGTCCCTGATGCTGAGAGTCAGAATTGCTAACCACTGAGCCAGCATGTCATTTTTGGTTTGTTTCTTTTGTATAGTGGTTGGAATCTGGGTTCTAGTTTTAAAGGGAGAAGGTCACATCAGGGGAAGAGGAAATATTTTACATTTACATTAACAGTTGGCATTAGGGGACAGGAAGGGGTTTGATAGTCTGGAGTTTAGTGGAAATGGGGTGAGGAGAAAGAGCTGGGTCTCATTGGCTTTTATTTAATCTCATATTATAAACATTCTACATCAAGAAATTGTCTCCAAGTGTAACAGTTTATGTGTTTTCAACACAGTTTTCATGTAAACATTTAAGTAAAAGCTATCATCTTCAGTTGTTACATCAGAATGAATGTTCAGCTGTGAGACAGATATAAAGGGAAATGAGGCCAAAATATTCACTTTGCTCACATTTATCATTAGAATTTATAGAAATAAAAGCATCTAAAATGATGGACAGATGACAATCTCCTGCTGGTCTGTACGGCCTACACCTTGATGTTTTACGCACCGCAATGTAAATCTCCAGCCACACAGAACCAGGTACTCTCCTGCTAGGTGAAAAACATCAGAATAAAAACACACGCTAATGGAGGCAAGAAAAAGACAAAGTCCTTTCATGTCAAGAGGACAATGAAGGAGGTTATCTACGATTACGAAGATATCTTGATCAATTGAGTCAATGGACTGAGGAGTGCAGATGGAATTTAATTTGAATAAATGCGATGTATTGTATTTTGGTAATACAAACAAGGACAAGACTTGTACAATCAGTTACAGGGCCCTGGGTAGTATTGTAGAACAGAGAGACCTAGGGTTCAGGTACATGATTCTTTGCAGTTTGCGTCACAGGGAGACAGAGTGATTAAAAAGGTGTTTAGCACACTTGCCGTCATTACTCAGATCTTTTGACTATAGGAGTTGGGACGTCATGTTGAAGTCGTAATGGGACATTGGTGAGGCCTCTTTGGAGTACTGTGTGCAGTTCTGGCTGCCCTGTTATGAGAAGGATATTATTACTCTGGAGAGGGTTCAGAAAAGATTTACCAGGATGTTACTGGGAATGGAGGACTTAAGTTATCAAATTAGGCTGGATAGGCTGGGATTTTTTTCACTGGAGCGTAGAAGATTGTGGGGTGATCTTATTGAGGTTTACAAACTCACAAGGGGCATAGATACATAGTAAATGACAAGAGTCTTTTCCCTAAAGTGGGGAGTTCAAAACTAGGGGGCATATTTTTAAGGTGAGAGGAGAAAGCTTTGAAAAGGATATTAGGGGCAACTTTTTTTTTAAAACACAGAGTGTGGTTAAAGTATGGAATGAACCACCAGAGGAAGTGGTGGATGCAGGTACAGTTACAATGTTTAAAAGACATTTGGATAAGTTCATGAATAGGAAATGGAGGGATATAGGCCAAACATAGGCAGGTAGGACTAGTTGAGCTTAAGAACCTGGTCAGCATGGACTAATTGGACCGAAGGGTCTGTTTCCATGAAGTATGACTGTGACTCTAAGATATTTACCCGGCTAAGTGACAGAACAATCTCCTTCCTGTACTCACAAATCAATGTTTCATACCTGTTTTTGCCCAACATAAGGACACGAAGTGACTTCAGAGAAGACAGACCAGAGATTTCCTCAATCCTATTGTTGTAAAGGTCCAAAAAAATAAGACGTCGTAGATTGGAAAGGTGCTGGATTTGAGTGATGAGATTGTGCTGGAAATTCAACAAACGAAGTTGCTGCTCACCCTCCAGAATTGGACAGACTGTCAGGTTTCGCCTGGATAACAATTAACAACATAAAATTGTTGATGGTCAAATATACACTGAGAGTAAGATGTAGTCTACAAAAAGGCTTCCTTTCTCAACAAGTGTCAAGTAGTCTAAATGATTAGAAAACTACAATTTTTGTTCAACTACGTGGTTAATACAGTATCCGAGAATTGTTGCAATTCATAAGGAGGCTATTCAGCCTGTTGTGTCTACACTGACTCTCTGAGCATGTTGACTTCGTGTCAAATTCCTGTCTTTCCCCATAGTTCAGCATATTCAGCCTGTTGAAAAGTCATCCATTGGTTTTTTGAATGCCTCAATTGAACCTGCTGCTACCAAATCTGCATTGTACATTCCAAACCTAGACCACTGATTGCATGCAGAAGTTTGTTTTCAACGCTCATTTGCTTATTTTGCAAAAAAACTTCAAAACCATGCCTTCTGGTTCTCAATTTATTTACCAATTGGAACAGTTTCCCCCCACCATCTATTCTGTTCAGACACAGTTTCAATGTGTAAACATCTGCCAAATCTCCCCTTAGGCTTCTCCTTTCCAAGGAAAACACTCCCACCTTCTCCAATTTATCCTCATAATCGAACGTTTTCATCTCTGGAACTATTCACGTCAAACTCTTTTGCACTTTTTTTTATTCATTTGTGGGATACGGGCATTGCTGACTGGCCAGCACTTATTGCTCATCCCTAGTTGCCCTTGAGAAGGTGGTGGTGAGCTACTTTCTTGAACTGCTGCAGTCCACCTGCTGTGGGTTGACCCACAATACCATTAGGGAGAGAATTCCAGGATTTCCAGTGACAGTGAAGGAACAGTGACAGATTTCCAAGTCAGTGGCTTGGAAGGGAACTTGAAGGTGGCAGTGTTCCCATGTATCTGCTTCCTTGTCTTTCTGGATGGTAGTGATTGTGGATTTAGAAGGTGCTGTCTGAATATCTTCCGTGAATTTCTGCAGTGCGTACTGTAGATAGTACACACTGCTGTTACTGAGCATTGATGGAGGAAGAGTGCTTGTGGATGTAGGGCCAATCAAGCATGCTGCTTTGTCCTGGATGGTGTCAAGCTTCTTCAGTGTTGTTGGAACTGCACCTATCCAGGCAAGTGGGATGTATTCCATCACAGTCCTGACCTGTGTGTTGTAAACTTCAGGGAGTCAGGAAGTGAGATCTTTGCTGCAGTATTCCTAGCCTTTGGCCCATTCCCGTGCTTATGTGGCAAGTCCGGTTGAGTTTCTGGTCAATGGTAATCTCCAGGATGTTGACAGTGGGGGATTCAATGATGGTATTGAATGTCAAGGGGCAGTGGTTAGATTGTCTCTTATTGGTGATGCTCAAAGTCTGGCATAAGTGTGGCACAAATGCTACATTCACATCCTTAAGTCTAGCTAGTTTCCTATAAAAGGTTCTGCATAACTTCCATGCTCGTATTAGTGAACCCAAAATACTATATGCTTTATTAAAAGCTCTCTTCTGCCACCTTTAAAGATGTACGCACGTGTACCCAGGTGTCTCTGCTCCTGCACACAATTTAGTATATTCTCCTTTATTTTATATTATAAACACCGTACCTTCCTATTTTACTGTAATTTTGATTGTGGACTGAATGGGAAAAGGACTGTTTTAAAAGCCAAAGATTGTGGAAGGAATTGTTGCATTTTTTAAAAGCTAACTACCAACACATATTGTAGTGTGGTTTACAGTGCTGTTTGTTCAATCAGTGGGGGAAGTTCAGTTGCAGATATATTGGCACTAGGGGCTGCATACAAGGTGAGTTTCAGTTGGTAACAAGTAGTTGATGGGTCCGTGGAGTCAAGACCAATTATCAATAACAAAGGTCTGCTGCCTACCAACAACTATGCGATTGGTTCCCAGATAACTGAACAGCTTCTAGGTGTGAAGCCTTCAGACCTCCAGGAACGGAGGTGGTATTATTCTCTCTGCAGTGAGAAAACCTAAAGCTTGAAGAAAGACAATTTATTTTCCCTCAACAATTGCTGTAATCTCTTGCTTTTAACTGATAAGACAAAAACTTAATTGGTTGTTAACCAGTCGCCCTGTGTTCCCTGCAAGCAAATTAAAGTACCTAGAGAATAGAGATCAAACAGCAAGTCCTGACAAGCAATAGGATTATCTCAGCAAACTATGTGGACTGGAGCCATTGAAGTTTTGTCTCCAATTAAAATGCCAATTTTAGTTTGTCCATCTGAACGTGTGTACGGGAGGTTTTATAGGAGGTTAGAATTTTAACCAGTAGAGTTATTACTGATGATTCATAGTTGTTTACTTGTAGCTAAAGTTTATTTATTTGTAATAAATTGTAACGTTTAAGTATGGAAACCTGGTCCTTTCTTGTATCTAAAAAAGCAGGCAAATTAGGAATTCTGGGAATTGATAAGATCTTTAATTTTTGTGATGACTCTGGGATTAGTGGAACTTGAGTTCCAGAGAGCTACCTCAGTGAGGCATAACAACACTGCCTCATCATATTGATTGTACACTAACTATTCGCCCACGCCACCAATTTGTCAATGTCCCTTTGAAGTTCTACACTGTCCACCTCACAATTTACAATGTTTCCATGTCTTGTGACATCTGTCCTCTTTGAAATTACTCCCTTTACTTCAAGAACTAAGTAATTTATATATATCAAGGTCCTGGGAGGCAATAGCATTATGGTATTATCGCTGGACTGTTTTTTGAAAAAACAATCATGGGAAAAGCTCTCTGCCTCTTGGAGTCATACCTAGCACAAATTGAGATGGCTGTGTTTGTTGGAGGTCTGACATCTCAGCTTTAGGATATTGCTGGAGATCCTCAAGGTAGTTTCCTAGGCCCATCTGACTTCAACTACTTCACCAACAACCTTCCCTCCCTCATAAGGTCAGAAGTGGGGATGTTTGCTGATGATTTCACAACATTCAGCACCATTTGCTACTCCATGCTGAAGCAGTCCATGTCTAAATGCAGCAAGGCTTGAACAATATCCAAAAAAATATTGTGAATGCTGGAAATCAGAAACGAACACAAATTGCTGGAAAATGTCAGCGGGTCTGGCAACATCTGTGGAGAGAAATCAGAGTTAACGTTTCAGGTCCAATGGGTTCTGAAGAAGGGTCACTGGACTCAAAAGATTAACTGAGATTTTTCTGTTGACTGCTGACCTTTTCCAGCAATTTCTGTTTTTGTTGTTGAACAATGTCCAGACTTGGGCTGACAAGTGGCAAGTAACGTTTATGCCACACAGGCGCCAAAAATAACCATCATAGAGAATGTACTCATTGTGTCTTAATATTCAATGTCATTACCTTCACCAACATCCTGATAACTACCATTAACCAGAAATTGAACGGGATGAGCAATGCAAGAGCAGGTCAAGGCTAGGAATCATGCAGTGAGCGATTCGCCAAGGCCTGACATTTATCTACAAGGCACAAGCCAAGAATGTGATGGAATACTTCCCACTTGCCTGGATTAATTACAGCTCCAACAACAGAAGCTTGACTGCTTCCAGAACAAACATCCTGTTTGATAAGCACATCCACAAAAAATACTTCCTCTACTGCTGACACTCACTAGCAGCATTTACAAGATGCACTGCAGAAATTCACCAAGGCCCCTAGGACAGCACCTCCTAAACCCACTACCACTATTATCTATAAAGACAACAGCAGCAGACACATTGGATGGGGACTTGCAGGTGATGGCATTCCCAAAAAAAAAAGCCACTCATCATCCGGACTTGAAAATATATCACTGTTTCTCTAGTACTAATAGGGCAAAATCCTGAAATTCCCTCCCCAATGGATTTAACTGTACCAAATACACTGCAGCAGGTCAAGGTAACAGCTCACCACCTTCTCAAGGTCAAAAAGAAATGGGGCATAAATGCTGGCGCAGACAGTGATGCCCACATCCCACAAATGAATGAGAGAATAACGAATTGTGATGATTACCACTACAAACCTTCTTCCTGTCTGAAAAAAATGCATTAACCATAACACTGTCCTATCACTCAGCCAATTTTGTATCCATATTGCTACTGTGCTTTTTATTCCATGACCTATGACTTTCCTCATAAGCCTGCTGCACAGCACTGTATCGAAGGAATTTATAAGTCCATTTCCATCACAACAACAGATTCATCTTCATCAAACTTGTCTGTTATCTCTTCAAACAAAAAACTCGTCAATTATTCATGACCTTCCCCCAGCAAATCCATCCTGAATTTTCTAAATTAACCCACATTGTTCCATGTGGCTATTAATTCTATTAAGATAAATTCTATTAAGTTAAGATGGCTTTCTACTAGTTCATTACTCCTTCTCTGTATTGACCAATATCGTTTCATAATGAACACTGTTGCCTAACTGATTCCCACACCCTCCCTCCACAACTGTCATTTGACCTTCTTAGCCAACCTCATTCCCAAGAATCAGGACTAGCAGTGCCTCCTTTCTTGTTGTACTGAACATATATTACTGTAGGAAACTTTTCCTGAACACAATTTAGGAACACCTGCCACTCACTGCCACTTCCACTATCTCAGTCTACGTATAGGCAATTGAAGTTCCCTATGAAAGCTACTCTATAATAATTATACCTCTCAACAACTTCCTTGCAATTTGTCCTTCTATGTCCTTCGCACTAGTGGTGTGCAGACAACACCAAGCAACATAATTCACCCTTATTTCGTAAATTAAGACAAATCATTTGTCCTTGAGCCCTCTGAAACATCCTCTTTCGCCAGTACTGCAATGCTATCCTTGGCTAGAAACAGTGCCACTCCTTTCATTTTCTTTCCAGACCTATCCTTCCTTTAACCAGGTCCCCGTTATCAACACATCATAATTCCATGTGACAATCTGTACCTGTAGCTCACAAATCCAAACATGGCTGGCTGTTGAACATGCTGGAAGAACACAACACCGAAGGAAATGCATTCCAAGGCATTTTAAAAAAAGAAAAGAGTATAACGCTCCTTCCAATTGGTGTCAG